GAGGAAAAGTGCGTCACAACCTGAAAGAAAGAACATTCAAGTCGGTCATATAAGTTCCGAGATATAGAGTGTCAAAGTCAACAAGCGCTTGCTGCAAAACTATACATAATGTAACAATAACAAAAATTGAATTTGGTAGGTTTTTTAAAGAACTTTCCGTATGTGTTTTTATAAATATGACCGCACGTGTGCTTTTGATATGAAAATTCAATGAATACCGTTAAGCCGAGAAGAGGGGATGAATTATAGAAATTGAAATAGTGCGTTCAAAGAGCGGCGTTCAGTATCTCGGCTTCTGTGGCTCCAATTTTGATGATTTTTTTTTAAATCGATATAGAAAAATGAGAGGAATTCAATTACCAAGGTTTAATTAAAATGTAAAGGCATTTTCGGTCTATTACGACTAAAAATTTTCCACATTTTGTTGTTATACTGTATATTCATGTAAAAAATAATATCGATGGTAGGATATAGGTACATAATCCACTGTTACTAGGTATTAGTTTTAATAATTACGTGGTAATAATGTTTAAATAAAATCTTGAAATTTTTATTTAATATGTCATTTGTTTATTGTATTCATATAATATAGAAAAAATATAAATAAGTACAAATAATTATTAATTTATGTTTACAAAACTGTGTTTATTATATTTTCATAATCATCGTATTATTAAAGTTTTTCACTTTTTTACATCAATGGTGTTTTCACTTATATCAGCATTTGAATAAGTATCGTTGTCCATTATTTTCAAATCAGTGTTTAACTAATTATTGTAAATAGGTACCACTGTTAACTTAACAGCAAATAATGACTTATGGTTGGTTAATTTGATTTTTTAAGCAATTTCATAGGCATCCTCGCAAGAAAATGGATCATTTTATGTATCACAAAATCCGTAAAAACAGAAAAATTAAAAGATATATATAGGGAGGTGTAATCTGGATAGATGTGGTGTAAATTTCTACAACAGATTTTTATTAAATATACAGGGTGTCCCATTTAGAAAAATCAAGTTTTGGCGGTTCTGTCAATCAAATTCGACAATAAATATGAAATTGAAATAGGTCGAAGACCATTAGACCATTAGAGATACATATAGGGAAGCTTTATAAAAGTCCCCTAAAACAGGGGTCGGCAAACTTTTAAGCCGGAAGAGCCATCTGCAATAGAAATATCAATTTCATGAATTTCAAAGACCCACAAATTTTTATTTCTGCTTTTACATTTTATTTCAAATTTAATTTTATGTGTACTCGTGTGCTGCTTGTCTATCCGCTTTAACTTTTAATTTTTAGAGGAACTTGAAGAGCCGCAATTGTCTCTTGAAAGAGCCGCATGCGGCTCGCGAGCCGCGGTTTACCGACCCCTGCCCTAAAATTATGCTTAGAATTCAAATATACAAAAATATACAGGATGTTCCATTTATAATAAGCAAATTGGTGGCGACTACCGGTATAACCGGAAGTACTACAACAATGGCATTATTTTATTTAAACTCTAAATAAAACCTCCAAAACCACCACGTCAAAAATTTTCAAAATTCAAATCGAAGTAGTCTCCGAAATATTCTAATGTGAGAAAAAACACGTGATTTTTGAGTATTTTTGCAGTTTTTATTTTTTTCTGCAAATAGCACAACTTTTTTTCTTGGCGCAACCTTATATTTTCATTGTTTATATTATTTTCGACCGATTTTACTAATATCTAAACTACGTCAAGCAACAGCCACGCCAATGTATAATTCTCCTGGACTAGTAATGGATATTTCAACAGGACAATATTCAAGATGTGAGAATATGCATTCGTTGCAGATATTCTAGCGTATTTTTGCTTCTATATTCAGAAAATAGTAAATTTACGTAACCCAAATTTGTAATATGCACCTCTGAATTATTATTTTTCTTTACACAAAAGACCTGGCCTCGCTACGTTTTGCAACATAATATGTTTCAAAACAATAATCCCTTACAATTAGTTAAGTATCTTATTTGAATGGATTTGTCGACCTTCTATGCATCGAATGTATAGACACAGGCACAATGAGTAAAATATTGCTTACCTCCGACACTGTTGTAGGTTTTCCAATAACGGATGAGCCGGAATTTTGTGTCGCATTCCCCTTTGAGGTAGTTTTGTTGAAAGTTATTAATTTCTTGTAAATCTTATAGAGCGCCTCGACTTCGTTTCTAAAAATTAATAACATAAGTGGGATTCAAACGACGGATGTAATTCAGGCATGTTCTAAATGGGAATCGTTCGATACGCCTCAAGAAATAACTTTGTTACATTTTGGAAATGGTTACCGCAAGATTTTTCGCGTTTCAGTTTTATCAAACCCTGAAATAATACTACTCACACCTCACACCTAATTCCTTGCAATCTTTATTACTAAGCAGCTATAAAATATGGAATCTAATAATATAAATACGTCAAAGAAGTAAATCTCCAGATGAGTATACAGGGTGTAAATTTAAGTGATTGATCAGCTTAAACAGCTTTGATTCTTGTATACGCCGCTACTGGGCTGCGTAAATCGGGGTAACCTACATTGTGGAAAATGACAATCAAAAATAATTTAAAACACAGATTGCTTTTGTAAAACTTAGCAACGTGTCATTTTCAAATTACCATATTTTTTTGATATCACTGTGGTCGAAGCGCCGAACGTTAAAAAAACATTATATCGTTTCTAAAATTAAATATTTTCACATGATTTTTTAAATATTAAATAATACTGTAAATTTATATTTTTTAATAAGCCGTTAAAAAGCGGAACTAATGAAAGGATTTAGTGAAAACATGACGTGTTATTTTCAAGTCACAAATGTTTTTGATGTTAATGTGGACGAAGCGCAGAACATTAAAAAAATGTTTTAAAAAAATTAATAATTTTCACGTAATTTATTAAATATTAACCAATATTGGTATGTAGATACGTTACTACTTGTATACAGGGTGATTCACAACTTATCCAAAAAAATTTTGGAATAGATGCGGCATGAAAAATGGAGTTAATAATGTAAAAAAAAATTTGTAAAATCCTTATAGTTTCCGAGAAAAAAAATATTGAAGTTATAGTACATTCACCCACTACATAGCTGGACAACTGTAGTCTCTAGCGTCATTCGCATTACGCGTGGAGAGCCATGTGACTCCTAATACTGAAATCCGTCGTTGCGGTAGTTTTTACCTGTTATCTGTGGTGTTTACAACAGTTTTTTTAGTAGTTAGTTTCAAAAATGGTTTGCGTGTATAGCAACTCAAGAATTTATGGATATCGTTTTAATTTATGATGAAGCAAGACAACATTTGTATTATGGTGAAGCATTTGTGTTATGGTGAAGCAAGACATTATTTGTGTTAGTTCGTAGAAAGCGAGTAAGACGGACCCAAATGTGTTTACACCTTAGTGGATAAAATTTTGAACCATTGTTGTTGTAACATCGGGTATGTCAAATGATTTTATTATTTAAAAACACAAATTAATTTTATTAATAATTAATAAAGGCAAAAGCATTTGAATTTGCCGATATAAAATAGGTGCTATAAAATTATATTTATTTCTTTCCTTGTGAAAGTGTTTGTCCGTTTTTTATCACACCGCCATGCCGGTCGCATTGTGCGAGGTCAGGTTTTACAGTGGACCAGTTTCCAGTGCCGTGCAGAGGTGTATTTTTAATCAATTTCGAACTGCCCTTTTTGATTTTTTCTTTACAAAATTGTATTTGTATAGGTCCCCTGTACATCCAGAATTTTTTTTTGAATAAGTTCTGAATCACCCTGTATAAAACAAATTTATGATTTAAAATAATTATTTTTGCTGTTTTAAAAAACGAACATAAAAAATAAATAAAAATACTAATCTGACTGATATGAAATATTTTTTTAAAATCGTTTTCACAAACAATTATGTGTCACTATATTTTTTAAGCAGTGTATATATTTAATTTGTGAATTTCAGTGTCAATGATCATTGATCTCTGACACTGACATAGTTTACCTGAACTATACTACTAGCACTACGTACAGTAGATTTAGGATAATTAAAATAAGGATATACAGAAATACGGTATATTTCCTCTCTTTTTCGTATTCAGCCACTTCGCCAGCGAATCTACGCTAAACATATTAAATTACCTCACTTTAACATAATGAACATGTGGCAAAAATATTTGACAAATTCATTAACACCCTGTATACTTATTTATTTCAGTGTTTAGTGACGGTACAGTGTAATGTTGTTTTAATTTTAAAGTTGTTTGCATGATATTCTGAAAAAGCATGCATACGAATCAAGAAAGGTTAGAATTTACTTTTTGTCAGGAGCAAAGAAGACGATATTAGATAAATTATCCCGATTTATAAGTACCGAATAAGAAAATGTTTGTAAGATTGGTTCAATATTTAAGGCATTAAGGGAGCTAATACGCTAGTGTTGGAAGGGAACATATTCAGAGAATGAGAAATTAGGAATCAGAAATTTTAAACGCCGTGGAAGAAGATCCTGGTATCAAAATTAGCCACAAAATTTCAAGTATCATGTTATAAAATCAGGTGAGTCAACAGATTACGAGTATTTATTTTTGTGTATTTCATTTATCATTATTGATTACTGCTCGAGTTGTCTGCTAGATTACTTGTTAAGTAGGTACTGTTTTATAGTTTATCTGACTTAAAAGAATTAAATTTTCGTTTTTGTGGGATGACAGGGCTCCTGTCAAATACCCACAACGGTGAGTGATGGTTTTAATAACCTTTTTTTTAAATATGAAATTTGACAACAATGCCCAGTTCCCAATTATGCATGCACAGCGACTTAAGGACACCGTTGAGGTTATACTAGCTTATTCAGCGTCGGGGTATGAAAAAAGATTTAGAAAAATTAAGTTTTCGTTACGGAATTTGAAAAAGTAAACTATTGATACGCGTTTGTAAAGATCAAAGGTAGCCTCTGTATAAATATGACCCCCACTCAAAATTACACCCTGCATATTATTGAAATATGAAAATTTAATATATTCATAGAAATATAAGAATATAATTTTTTTCCTTCTATTTTCCTTATTTTAACGAACGAATCTTGTTAAACTTACACCCGATGTAGGGAAGACCTTTTCTTTGTTTTTTGATTAGAACCTATCGAGAAAAGCTTTGACATGATATTCATTAGTAAAAAGAATGTTCTTTACAGAATATGTTAATTAAAGTTTTTTTTTGTAATTAGTCTAAGACAGAACAGTCACTTTGTTGCCAAAATTTTACACTTGTTCTATCGATTGTGTGACGTCATATTAGCACAAAATAAACTATTTTTCTTACACTCTCTAGGTTCCCGCATACAATGGGGTCAATATTCCCATTCATCACCACTTCACCTGTTTGGCAGCGATAATGAAACTAAAAATACCACGCTTACTCCAAAGACCCAATCGATGATTGCTTTTTGTAATATGTTATTTAAAATCGAAGATAATAAATCACTTTTACTTTTCTCAACGTTTCGGGTTATATCGACTTTTAATTTTCTATTCATTATGTAATAAAATACTGATACTTCTTTTGATACTAAGTAGTTATCTCTATGCTATTATAATATCGACAAATTCCAAGTTATTTAAACTTTAAATGTACATCAAGTTCAGGGTTCTACAGGGCCTTCATAAATGATTACAAGCCAGGTGATCAGTAATTTTTATTGGAACAGTAATTTTATTTCCTTCATGTCGGCCATTAAAAATTATTAAAATTATAAGAACAAGGTTACAATAAAACACAACATTCAGTTTCACCGGCTGTGCTTGGTACAATTTTTCACGAGAAAAATTAATATTGAGTGAATTGTACTCAATAATTTCACTCAATGGATACACTCCGAACCTTTATTGCTTTCACTCACGCCGATTTTTTTCCAGTGTAGTGACGTCAAGATTTAGGGAATTTTCGTTACCAGTACCAATCGTGCAATGTTGGGTTGCCTAAGCTCGACGGCCCACATGGCTTGTAAACATTTATGAAGGCCCTGTATATACTCGACTACAGATACATTTTTCTAGAAACATGAAAAGGAGTATGGATGTCAATGGTAACGTAGAAAAAGGAGGAGGGGATTGACAGTAGAAACCTTTAACAATTAATTCCATAGGTTTCTTACATCGCTTTCTTATGTTAAATTAATTTTTTCGTTTTAACTTACCACCCCTCCCCCACCCCCTTGTTAAAATTATGTGTACGCTACTGCAAAAAAAAACTATAAAAAACCCTTTCCAAATGAACTAGAATTTTGCCTTATTTACATCCTCATACTTTGAAGTAATAAAATTCAAAATATACTGATTTGAACTGGAAGTCCTATAAAATAAAAAGTGTTCGGCTTATTTAAAAACTAAGTAATAAAATCAGGTATCATAAAATCGCTGAACTTGACTTGTTATTGGTCAAAGTCACGTCAGTTTTGATAGGAATATAGAAATATCTATATTTTTTTAACAAATAAGCTGAAACCTTCAACCTTTTGATTCCAAAGATTCTTCCCGTCTTTAATGTTTTATTCTCAGATTACCTGAACAATTTTAACAGCAAGTTTAAATTGTATCATTAAACAGTCATTCTATTTATACCAACATTTTTGTATTTTCAAAAAGGACATTTAGTCTAAGAAAAGAAATAAGAACATAATTAAATTTAGATACACAGGGTGCCTTTTAAAAACCAATATCCCATACTATTGGTATGATTATTTTTGTATGATGACAATATAAATATATTTTTGAACCAATTACAATGATTCAGATGGTATTCCGTGGCCTTTGCTATTTTTTAAAAACGAATTTTGGAAAATTAGGGTTTTTTTACAAAAAAAAACAACGTTCATCAATTTATAAAGCAGTATGTACCTTCTCTTTCAGTTTAAGAATCATGGAAACTGGAAACATTGGATATTGGATATGAAAATTAGTTAATTATTGACACTGCTCATTATAGAAATGGATAAATGCAGATCCCATTTATACTTTTACTTTTAACAATTACGACCATTTATAAAAGCAATCAATAAAAAGTTAAGTTTGTCATTTTCAGGCATTTGAAGTGTTTCCTAGATTTGTAAATTGAAACTTAAAATAAATATAAAATTTTAGGCCTGTAAATTAGAATTATAGTGCTTTATACATTGATCAAATTTGATAGACTGGAGCTTAAATGACGATGTTTGAAACTACGTAGCCAAATCCTTAATTAAAAAATTCTGAAAGTGATTTTTGGAAAAATAATTTCTAAGAAGCTAGCAGCAAGCCACAATTTACTAACTACATCATCATAATTGGTTCAACAAATACGTCTAGAAGGTCACTATATACAAAAAAGTAGATTCTAGTTATGTATTTCAAATATATTTTAAAAGGACATCCTAGTTCTTAACTATGCTAACGTACAATTTTTCCAGGAAGTTGAATCTTCACAATATAATCAAAAGGTCGTCAAAAATATTTAAAAGCAGTTGGTGAAGCTAAACTATCTGCCTAATCTCTTTAATTTATCTAAACATCTTGATTAAAATATCTTTCATCAAATAAAACACAGGTACAATGAATCTATACAAAGTCATATCCTTATAACAAAAAAAAAATAAAGCCAAACTTCAGAGCTACGTGCTGAGCAAAAGAGTGGTGCCAAACTAACTGTCATCTACCTCGTAAACAAGTTGTCTCTTCTGGCCAACTCCAGCAGTTTGGGCGAGCACTTGCACATGTCCTTATCAGTCATGCCCTTGCCTGCTTTGCCCTTGCCTTGTTTACTATTGGCGTGGATCGTGCAGGCCCTGTGGTTCTTGGCGGCAGCCAAGAACAGCGTTACACCCCTCAGCACCACGGCCCCGCCGCGCACGCTCAGTCTTGGCGTGGCTGGATTGGACATCTGGTGAACAAAAGAACGTTTGTTCCTACTTTTTTTCCGATTAGTTGGATCTGATTTATGGGGTTACACGATTCGTACCCTCAGTTCTACAGCTATAATCGATGTTTATGTCACGGAAGGGTTAGAGAAATTATCTGTTATGGAAAATTCACTTTAAATAAATATTTACACGCAGAGAAAATAATCAGAGAGATTCTATCAGAGGACGCACGTCAAGATAATTTAATTTTGTTAAAAATATAATTGTTATTTGAACTATTATTTCAAATTGGTATCAAACAAAGGGTCAAATCTAAATTGCTGCATTTGATTTTAAAAATAGATTCATACGATTATTTTTACAAACCTGCAAATATTAATAATATAAAACTATAGCGTTTCCTTCTTTAATGTTCCAAAACATGCAAAGGAATCGATATCTAACCAATTCAATATATTTAAATGATCTATGCATCAAACTGCAGTAGTCGCATTTGTATCGATTCGTCTAGAACTAATGAACTGAACGATTGGTCTGCATTAAAAATATTGGTCTATTGTAGTATATAATACCTATATGTAATTTTTGAGATATAGAGGCGTATGCATTATCAAATAGACAGGTTGTTTTCCAAATAGTTGACATAATTTCACAAAGTTGTTTCCTGGATCATTTTAAACTAAGATTTATCAACCAAAGTCTAAAATCATGATTTTGGATATACGGTTTCTGCGAATTTTTTCCTTTCCTTCTATTTGAATCAATCCTGTGTATCTTGAAAACCAGAGACTTTATGTTCCTTGTTCTTTAAGATTATTTGGATTCAAAATAGTCAAGGAAAGATCTCCTTCAGTTATACTGTAGACTTAGAAAACACCCTATTTACTTACTCGAAACAATATAATTACAGTGTGGCCCACTAAAAACCGGAATAATCATGTAAATTGTTTTGGGAGCACAATTTCAATGATTTTTGCTGTGTAGTAGCCTGTTAGTTGTACTTACTTGCTGCGATAATTATACCATAATACATGATTCTTGAAAAATCGGTTTAAATTTGTTTTATAATATATTTAGTTACATAGCTTAATTCAAAACCTCTCTATCTCCGTTGTCATTCAATTTAGAAGAAAAAAGTGTGCACATTATTAGTTCTATTTTTTATTAGGAAGCCAGTGGCGTACTCAGATTTTTTACAAATTGCACAGTTTTTCCGATATTACATAAACATAGGTTTAGGTTTTTTTAAATAGAACACCCTGTATTTAGCCATCCCGTTGAATAACATTTTTTTTATCTTTTCAGCCATATATAATAATAGATACTTTTTATTTTCCTAAATGAAGAAAAATGCAAAAATGTATAGATATTTTTTCAGTTGGCCATGTTATTTACTTATTCGTCTTTTGTTGTTTAATATTTACAGTTAGTTTATTTTTGACTGATTGAAAGCTTGTTAAACGTCTATTATTTTTTTTCAATTTTGAAAGGTATAGAAATGGTGTACGAAAATCTTTACAAAGTTCACATGTTGGAGTGTTACATTAAAAGTGAAAAAAATAGTGACACAGCTTTAAACTTATATTTGGAGAGATACCCAGACCGCCATCAGCCAGAAAAGATAATTTTTAGCCGACTCTATGATAACTTGTGTGAGTTTGGTTCTTTTCAAAAACCGAGAGCTAAATCTTATAATATACAGAATAGAGAAAATGATGAAATCAATACTTTAGCTTTTGTTGTCGCAAATCCCAATGTATCCAGCAGAGAAATTCAAAGAACGATAGGAATTGGTAAATTAAAGCATTGAGAATTTTAAAAAAACACAAGTTCAATACTATAAAGTATATAAAAGTATAAGTAACTATAAAGTATAAGTACTATAAAAAAAGTCGACCATTTGCATCCAGGAGATGAAGAGAGACGTGTCATTTTCTGCCAATGGTTTTTGCAGCAAACTCATGTAGACCTTAATTTTTTTCAAAATGTTATTTGGACCGACGAGGCTTTTATAAGCAGCGCAGGTATATTCAACCGGCATAATGCGCGTTATTGGTCAGATGTGAATCCTCACCAAACTGTGGCCAGAATTCAGCAAGGACAGTTTGGTTTTCATGCATGGGTAGCTCTCTTCCACAATAGAGTTAGCTCACGAAATATACGATGAAAACCTTAACGCTCAGAGATATGTGAGAATTTTACAAGAAAATATTATTGAACCGCTGGACGATATGCCACTAGCTCAACGATATCACATGTTCTTTCAGCATGATGGTGCGCCTCCACATAATTCCCACATAGTTAGAGAATTATTAAATCATAATTTCGGGGACAATTGGATCGGTACGTACGGACCAAACGGTGGCCGCCTAGATCACCAGACCTAACCCCTATAGACTTTTATTTTTGGGGGGGATCTTAAAGACAGAATTTATAAGTATAGAGCTAATAATGTCAAGGAGCTAAGGGAACATTTTGAAAACTATATTCAGCGGGTATCAAATATCCACATTTACAATGTTACCCGCTCAATTGCCAAACGTTGTCAGTTATGTATCAACGAAAATGGCCGACAATTCGAGCACTTGCTGTGACTTTGTTATGTCATTTTTGTTTTATTGTTGTTTCTCTCATTTTATAGTTGTTATTTTTGTTTAGTTTATGTTTAGATTTATAAGTGTACCTATAATTAAACCTATTAAGTAAAGTTAAATGGATAATCTAATTCATTTTTTCTTGTAATTTTTTAGTCTAAGTTAGGTGCTTAATATAAAAATAATAATAGGAAACGAGGAGACCAATACTAAATAAATCTCATGGGCAACTGAAAAAATATCTATACATTTTTCTTCATTTAGGCAAATAAAAAGTATCTATTATTATATATGGCTGAAAAGTTAAAAAAATGCTATTCAACGGGATGGACAAATACAGGGTGTTCTATTTAAAAAAACCTATGTTTATGTAATACCGGAAAAACTGTGCGATTTGTAAAAAATCTGAGTACGCAACTGGGTTCCTAATAAAAAATAGAACAAATAATGTGCACACTTTTTTCTTCTAAAATGAATGACAACGGAGATAGAGAGGTTAATGTAAATGGGTCATTTTAAAAAAAAAACTGTATATCTAAAACTAATCAAGTTAGCCAAGATCTTTTGGTACCAGCGAAGTAAACTCAAAAAAAGAGAACGGGACATCGATATCAGATTTTTTGTATCTATCAACGTTTTGGCTGTACATTATAAATCGGTAAAATTTAAGATATAAGGATAAGTAATTTTTAAGCTTTAATGTATTGATTAAGCCTATGGAGTCGAATTTTTAATAAAATAGTTCCTAAAATCAGTTTACCTAAAATTAGTTACGTATTTCCATCTACAATCATCGCAAGTGATGCAGCAAGTACATTTAGAAATGGGCAAAAATAGGAAAACAATGTTATAGTCTTACTCTTGAAATAGTTTTTCACTAGTATATAATACCCGATTCGAATTTGGTACAGTGATGGGCATCTTAAAGTCCCCACTAGTTGGGTCGCTCTCGTTCTCTCGCGCCCCACCACAAATAATTAGATATGTTTCGGACTGGGAGTGTTGTTTGGAAATGTACACCGTGGCACCAAAAACTGTTGTATTCAATAGGGTGAATAATAATTAATCCGATAACAGTTGCATTTGATATTTTAAAATATATTATTTTATTAATGATACGTATGTAACATTCCTAGTTAGTTAAATAAGAATATTGAAGATTTTTTTTAAATAAAATGTTAAAAACCATTTACTTTTTTAATCATTATTCGCAACATTCAATACCTGCATATTTAAAGTTTTTTTTTCCTTTACTAGGGATATTCATACAGGGCGGCCCAATAGTGATAATATTACTCATATGCCATACGGATAGAAAATAATTTTAGGCGCCATAAGGGGGACGTTTTAAAAATGTTATGAAGTATGCGGGGTGTTTCCGAAGGCCGCGTCAAACATG